GCTGACTACAACCCTTTACACTGAATATTTTCACGAACTCTTCACACAGCTCTCTAGGCCCCATGTGACAGCAGTGTAGGATGGGGTGGTTTGTCCCCCGTACAGCACTGAGTGATGTCTGTTCCATAGTATAGCTGGAGACCCTTAACATCTGCAGAACTGCAGGCCTCTGCATAGGCTGAACTGGCCCTATGTGAAACAATAGGAACGGGCAGCTGATTACATTCCAGAGATGTCTATAGATGTCCCAGGTTTCCATGCCCTGACATGGGGAATGTCTGCAAGCTGGGGATCCCACCTCCCCCGAGCAACGACAAGTGCCGAGGGGGGGAGACTCGAGCAGGTGTCCCCTCCTCTCCACATTTGCATAGGGAAATCCTTGTGCAAGGGAATTTCTCAATACATCTACAAGTGTAGAGTGGGGGAAACTCAAACAGGGGTCCTGCCCTCCATGTTTGCAGGCATACAGGGGAAATCCCTGTGCACTTCCCTCTACTTGCAGGGGAGATATCCCTCTGCAAGGTCTGGCTGAGTATGGAAAGTGAGATTTTCCCCTGTCCAGCCAGATCAGAGTCAGGGTAGGGAGCAGACAGGGTCTGGCTGAATGGGGAAGCTCCACAGAGGTAATAAGGCATTTTCTGCAATAAAACAAAAGAGCCTATTACTATCTGTTCTTGTGCCACTAATATTCCTTTCGAGTGATACAACCAGTGCTGTAGCAAGGGTGGGGGGCCGAGCAGGACAACTGTCCCGGGTGCCAAAGCAATGGGGCACCAACAGGCACTGCCCAGCTACGGCAGGGCACAAGACAGAACCATGAGCGGCTCGTTTGGGGAGGGCATGAACAATGGGGGAAGGGCCATAGGCAGTGGAAGGCCAGGGCTAATGGGTCTCAGCAACCTCCCCCCCCCATAAACGTGGGGCAGTGGGTAGGGCCACAGGGCAGCCTGGCCGCAGGTTCCAGGCAGCTGCAGCCGGGGTGGGGAGGGGCGCACACACAGCAAGGATTGAAACCCAGCACGTAGATCACTGGCTGCCCAGGACAGGAGGCAAATACTCTGTGAAGGGGAAGGGACGGGGGTGGGGGGCAAACAGATCAAGGCCCCCACATTGAGGGAGGGAGTGGGGTAGAGGTTGAGTTGAAAGGGGCCCCAGCAAGGCTGGGTAGTGGGACAATTGGAGCCTGGGTGGCTTATCCAAGGGCATGGGGGAAGGGGGCCTCCTGCCACTGCATGCACCCCAGCGAAGGCCCAGAGGGGCACATGCCTCCCTGATCTGTGTGCGGGGTGGAGGCTGCTGCTGCTGAACTATGGGCTCTGCACCCTACTGTTGCTGCCTCAAGAGCCATGCAATACCATGTGCCTTCTTTTACTGGGCTGTGCTACACTCCATGCCCACCCAGCATCAGGATACACATGGCATCACATGGCTCCTGAGGTAGTGGGGCACAGAGCCCAGCACTCAGTGGCAGCCGCCTCCACCCCATGCACAGATCAGGGGACACGTGTCTCCTGGACCTCTGCTGGGGTGCACATAGTGGCAGAGGCTGCCCCCCAACGCCCCTGGATGAGCCATCTGGGCTCCGATTGTCCCGCCACCTAGCCTGACCATGGCCCCATTCACTCAAGCCCTTGCCCCTGCCTTGGCCCCACTCCCTCCCTCACTGTGAGGGCCTCAATCTGCCCCTCCCATGCTCTTTCCCGCCCCTTCCCCCACAGACTTACCTGGTGGGGGGGGGCGCACACTCAGCTCCCCCAAATATTTTTTTCTCCCTCTGCCGATGGGGAGGGTGGCTCCCGCCATTGCATGCACTCCCAGGCAAGCATGTGGGGGGAGGGGAGTGTGCCCCCCAGATCTGTGCACAGGGTGAGGTTGGGCTGCTGCTGCGGGCTTTGCCCTGGGTGCCAAACTTTGTTGCTATGGCACTGGACACAACAAAGGGTAAGGATGCCTATTTGCTTGGCATTTGTGCTGTCGTAAAAAAAATTGAAGGCAGAACAAATGAGACATCAGGTAATGTCTGTTTCCACCCTAAGGGCCCCTCTGCACATGCAGGTAAATGTGTGATGAGATCTAATGTATGATCCACACAAGGTGCAGTTGTGGGACTGCAAATCAGAGCCTATCATGCCTTATTGCCCATGCAGGGGGAGCCCAACTATTGTTATCTCCCAGCCACTGGAGCATCCCACACACCTGTATAGCTAGGAAACGGTAGCTGTTGTGGTCTCCGAGCTGTGTTGGTGCATGGGACATCTCCATGGCTGAGAACCTAGTTAGCTGATGGGACTCCCAGCTGGGTGGGCATGTGCTCCTGCAGCTGGGATCCAGTGCCAGCTGAGAGCTCCAAGGCTTGGGGGTATGCATAGGCCCTCATAGCTGGGCACTCTGATCAGCTGATGGGGGTCCCAGCTGTGGGGGCACAGGCTACACATGCAAATTAAAGCTAGATAGAAATCAGCTGTAAAGTTATTACACATTTTTCCAGCAATAACTTTATAGCTTCTTGGACCATAGTTAACTTGCATGTATAGCCAGTCTGAATTAATTGTGCAGTTAACCAGGTAATTGAATAGTACATGTAACATAGAGGGGGCTTAAGAAAGTGCTTTGGGGGGATCCCTGCACATGGAATCATAGAAAATGAGGGTTGGAAGGGACCTTGAGTCATATTCTAGTCTAACCCCCTACTTAAAGCAGGACCATCCCCAGCTAGATCATCCCAGTCAAGGCTTTGTCTGGTTTGCTCTTAAAATCCTTCAAAGACTGAGAGTCACAAATATCCCAAATGAAAGGAAGGAGTGACTGCCTTCACTTGTCTGCCTCAGCGCAGCAAGGCTTGCTTCCTAGTCTGTAGGAATCCAAGTCTGGCTATAAGCGTGGCCAGAAGAGAGAATCCCTCTGAGATGCACTTTTTCCCAGGCCGGTGAAAGCAAGGAAGAAGCTGAAATGTAGTTTTTTTCCCCTGTATGTTATTTTTAAAATCTTACTCCCTGTTGCAAGGCAATAAGATGAGCAAATGGCCCCCCACACCTGCCAAGGTGCCATCAGCAATTATTGCAGTGTTTAGTGTCTTACTGCCACCAGCAGAAATCTCTTTGCTCCCTCTCATGTCATGGATTTCAGTGTTCTTCTGGGGATGGTGCAATTAAAGCTCTGAGATTTAGAACTGTAATTCTCTTTGTTTTTAACAGGAGGGAGAGATGGGAAAGGGTGATACATATGGTTTCCATCTCCTCTTTACTTGACTCTGATCAGCAGGGGAAAAAAAAGATAAAGAGTAATGGAGTTTATTTTAATTCCACTGCCTTTGATCCAGTTATTGAGGAGACAGTCTGATATGTGTACCTCATTATTTGGTGCTAAAGGAACTAAAAGTAATTCATGGATATTCTGCTCTCAGGCTTCCTTTTTTCCATTTATGCTCGTATCTGCTGGCAGAAGGGGGCTTACATCTTATATTTTACTGCCCAGTGTTTTTTTCAGGACAAATATTTTCTCTGGTTAAATTGCTTTCAAATATATGCTAATTCAAATGCCTATCAACACAGTGTGGGCTAGTGGATAGAGTTATAGTCTGGAAGGCAAGTCAACTGGGTGTTCAGTTCCTGCCTGTTTTGCTGACAAACAGTATGACCTTAGTAAAGTTGTTCAGTCAAAGGTTTCCAAAAGTGCCTGCTGATTAGATGTCTGATTTGAAATATATAATATCTGTTTTTTGCTTATTTCTGTTTTCCCCAGAGGTTTTGAATACAGATTGGCTCCTATATTACAGATATTTAGTACTTCTGAAAATCATGCAATTGGTGTCTCAGTGAGAGAGCAATTTATAAAATGTTGATTTCAGCTGCCTTATGCCTCAGTTTCTTCCATCTGTGAAATAGGCATATATTGACTTTCAGGTGTGCTGTGATTATTAGTGACAATTTTGAGAAGTGCTTTGACACCCATCACACCAAGCCATATGAAAGTACAAAGTAGAATTGTCCTGTTAAACTTGCAGGACAGGGAGTGGTTGTGGCATATTAGAAAACAGTCTGTTTCAAGGACTAGTTCCCTTCTACCAATTCAACTAATACATATCTCCATGTGCATGTTTTGTGGAGTACTTGGTAAATTGGCCAGCTGCCAAAAGAGAGGTAATTTGACCTATCCAAGGTGAGCTGAAATCTGCTGAGAATTTATTAGTTCTGTCCCACTGGATTGGCCTGAGATTTTTATGGAATAAGATTAGGCCAAGGAAGTCGATGTACTGGGTAATAATCAAAACTTTAATGTGGATTAGTAGCATATAAAATTAATATGTTAAAATTAATGGCTGCAGCAATAAAATGGTGTCAAGCCTTTATTCTGACACTAATAGCTTTGAATATACTGTACAGTACCCTTTGCAGGAGAACAAAATCAGAGCTGGGGAATTCGTGGTCATTATTTGTACAACAGCAGTGATCAATACATGTCTTGTTTTGAGTGTGAAAACAGGAGGGCCACTGATAACAGCAGGAAATTGTTATAGTCCATGGAATCAAGCTGGTATCCCATGTCAGAGACTGGAGCCGTGATGTTTAGAGCTGGATCATATGTAGGGAACTGGGAGGGCAGGAATCCAGGAGGCAAGCTCTGTTAAAGTTGTGGATAGAGTCTATGGGAATGTAAATACCTGCCAATGTTGAGTTTTCCTACAGTACATATAATGTGGTTCTGATCTCTCTTCATTGTGTTTGCAGTCTCAAAACAGGCCCAGGTATTGCTTAGATTCAGTAGTGAATCTGCAAGTGGTTTAAAAAATGTCTTGGAGCATCTGGGGACAAAGAGCCCTGCAACCAAACACTGCTTTCCATTAAAGTCTCTTAAAGAATAAACAGAAAAAGTATGATCTTTGGATTGGTAAAGGCAATTATCTTGGACCAATTTAAAGATGCATTCTTACACAGTGAGCCGTGGAATGAAACAAAACTGGGATTTTTAAAAGAACATTCTACTTGCCTTTTTCTTCCTAGGTTCATTTCTGTTCCTTGATGCATCATATAACATCAGCCCTGTCATCCTGAGCCCCTGGCTGAGAAGCAGTAGTGATCACTGCACCGTGCAAGTGGCTGTGTACATGCATCTCCAGCAAAATGGGGAATATATTGCCCGGATCCACCCCATTGATGAAAGCAGCAGTGAAATCCCATTAATCCCAAGTCAGGAGAAAAATGGGTAAGTTTCTTCTAAACAAGATTTCATCTCTTAGTGATTTTGGTATTATACTATAAAAAAGAGCATTTTATTCCAGAAGAAAGGCGTAGATATTTAAATGGTACATATGTAATGTTCTGCAACCAGGTGGAACTTCGACAGCGACGACTGAAACTGAAACCTTTCAGTCTTAACGCAGTCACTACTCCCCGAGGTAAAAGACCTGGCTCTGTTAGCCCAGGCTGTAGCAAGCTTATCAACCTCAGTGTGTGGCCTAGCTACCTAAACAGACAGGCAAAGCGCTACACTGAGTGGGTGCAGAGACGAACACAGGCATGGGCGAACCAGGTGGCTGCCCGGGGCCCGGACAGAAAGGGGGCCTGAAGATGGTTGTTTTTTTCCTGTTGTCTGATTATTATTATAATTATCTCTGTCGAAGGGGGACCCAATACTAAAAGTTCTCCCGGAGCCACCAGTAATTTGGGTATGGTCCTGCGTGGGTGTGGGTTTTGCTAAGACCTAAGACTGACTTGGGGCTGAATTTTAGCAAGCTATTAGATCTTCAGAACAGTGAATCCTTGACCTATGACTAATTGGACATTCAGTGCTGCCTATGAAGGACCAATGGGGAGATTTGCCTCAAAGTTGAAGGCCCTCCTACACTGTCCATTCCTTTTCACTGTCCTCTGTTCTTAATATGTGCCTTTCCCAAGAGTTTACTACCGGGCTTGAATTTCACAGAGAGCCTTGCATGGATCTTGTGCATCTAGATTAATTTCCGCATTGGTTCCTTGATGATATGGACATAAGTAACATTAACACCTGTCTAAACGGAAGCAAAAAGTGGTTCTTTGCATCACAAAGGAGTTCAGTACCATTCCTTAGGGGAAAGCTTTTGATTCAGTACCATTCCTTAGGGGTACCAGTGGCTGAAACATTTCATCCTCTCTGTGTAATTAAGATTAATTGTTGGTGATGTCTCAATTTGTCAGACTTCCTATGCATTCTCTTAGATTGTGGTTAGAGGCAAAACAGCAGGATTGTAGCTGAACAGACGTATTCTAGATGCCTAAATGGTATGGTGGTTGTTTAATTTAAAATTTAATTTAAATAAACGTGAAACTAGCATTTTCTCTGTTCTAGCTACTGACTTTGCCTCCATGCCCCAGAATGTTGCATAATGAAGTATAATTCTTACCAAACAGCTTAAACTATCTTTTGTTTAACGTAATAGATTAGAGGGAATGATACTAATGTCGAGTCCTGCTGCCTTATGCCTGTAACAAGACGTGGTGATTATCTGATTACTGTCTAAAACAAACTCTGTAATTTCCAGTAACAAAAGAAAAATGTTCAATAAAAAACCTGACGGGAGATAACCTGACTCATAGGAGTGGGCTGAGTGGTTGTAATTCTACCATAACACATGGTCTATAAAACTGTAAAAGAGAGATGGTGTGTGGCTCAGTCGTGCTTAGTTCCAGCAATGCCATCCAACTTGTAAATTACTCTTGATGTCTGGGGAAAGGTAATTAGGGGAGCTGCAGCAGCTGTCTTCTTCCCTGGCTGTTTGAAAATGCTTTACTGTGTCACCGCTAGTAAACATGCTTTGTGCAAAATGCAGCCACGGCGCTGGCAATGCCACCGCTGCTTGGCATTTGCAAGGTATGCTGCTTTGCCAGGATGCTTTACTATAATGCATGGAGGCTCTTCAATGTTGGATTTTCACTGTGTGAAATCAACCTTCAGCACAAGAAAACACTGAGCATTGTCAGACTGAGGGCAGGGTGGAAAGCTTACTTCAGCCATTGTAACAAAGTGCTATGTGTTTTTGTACCACTGCCATCTGCTGGTGACAGTGGTTGAAGCTAGAAGATATGGTCTTCAGGTGAGAATTGGCTTCTTGGAACTGGCAGTAGGCCATGTTTTAGAGTAGTTTTAGTCATGAGCAGGCTAAACTTGCAATATCTTGGGGTTTTACCAGCCAAGTTTGACTTTTTTTTTTTTTTTTTTTAAAGACATGCTTTAATTTAGATTGCCAGGAACTCTGTGACTTGTGTGCAAGTAAGGAAGGCCAGGTCAGGTAGTTGATATTGGTTACATGTCTAACTACCTGACCGTGCCCATAGATTAGTCTGGTATCATTTGCAGCTCCACTTATTTCCAGATCATCAAAAGGAAAGGCTGGATCTTAAAAAATGCTGTAAACATTCCAGTGCCTTCCTTTTTTTCCTCAAGGAGATAATATTCAACTCTTCTAGGATGTGGTCTTTATATGAATATGCATAGCCTTACTTTGAAACACACTGAAACTTTTTATAAAAGACTTTGGGCTTTTTGTAAAATCAGTGCTAATAGGAAATACTGTATAACCAAAAAGAATGATAACCGTCCAATGGAATTCCTAAACTGCCTATAGGTATCCTACAGTAGGAATCTCATTATCTCATTTTTTTTTCTTAAAGATTCCATAGATATGGGAACATTTGGTCTTGAAGTCTTTAATGAAGAGTTGTTTGCTAATTGAAATTCCTGTCCTAGAAACTCAAGATGCTTCAGTACCTTGACTAGTGACATTTCTTTGATTCAGTGATTTTTACATGCCTTTACATACCAACCTAACATGAGATGTTAAGCACAGAGAGCTCCCGCTGGCTTCAACTGCAGTCATGGGTACTTATCATTTGCTGAAACTCAGACCCCATAGTAGGAAGAGAAAATGGGTTTTGTTGAAAGTAATGTACTTGAAGGTTAGCATGATGATTAAATTAACTTAAGGGTAGATTTTTCTCATATCTCAAGTAGCGTATGGTGTTAGTTACCATCTCTCCCTTCCAATATCCTGAATTACATGTAGTCATACTTGATAAGGTCTTCATGGTTCATGTACATTTACAAGGAGGAAGAAAAAGTGCTGTCAGATACTGTTCTTTGATTAGGGGTTTAGACAACCCAGTGAAGTTACTTGTTGGCAGCTGCAGAATAGGAATTAAACAGTAGGAATATTTAAGCCATGAAATTTTTCTTAAGACCCCAGAGAAGGAACTTCTCTCTTCGTTTCATACAACTTTCATTTTGCTAAGACGTCAGCCTTGCAATCCTTACATACAACATTCCCATTGAACTCAGTCAGTGTTTTATAGACTTAAAGACTACAGGATGGATAAATTTGTACTTTTTCTCCCCTGGTTCCATTTCCGCTATAGTGAATAATGTAATTCTATGAACTGTGGAGTCATACTAATCCCAGAGTGAGCAACTTGTAACAAAGAACTAGTGCCATGTCTATTGACTGGTGCACATGAGACCTATGCTTATTATTGATTTATTTTACTAAAGTACCTATCCTTTATATAGGGGAAAAAAACCTAGGTCATTTAATCATATTTGCAAGGCATTGTGTTGTGATGAGATGGGGAGAACAGAAGAGCTTCAGTGGGAAAAATAACCCAGGAATGATAGATACTTTGAATGGTCTATGAGTACTAGAGTACCTGAAGCTGGGAATGGGCTGACAGTAAGGGAGCTTCTGTAGGGGTATACATGTATGGCCATGTATGTATACACTTATTCTATTGGGCTATACATATAATAGTAAATAACTTATCTGTGTTCTGTGTGTAAAATGACAAAATGTAATAGGTAACTTTATTGTAGTTGAGTAAAGGACTCAAACAAAAAGGGGTGGGTGGGTAGGATTTCATTCTCCCTTAAGTTATTACTTTTTGGAGCAAAATCTTTCTCATAATAGTTGAATTCCTGTTGAATGCTGTAGGATTCTCCAACAGGAACAGTGCATTATATATACTGGCAAAAGAGGAGTTGTTGCATTAGAGAGCTAGTTGATTTGACTCTGAAGTTGGAATTTTTTTTGATATTGTCAGTCTCTTTTGTCATCTGTTGCACAGTTATTTTTCTGGCTCAGCTAGTGAACTGGCAGCCAAAAATGGTAAAGGGAAGAAACTTTCTGCAGTACTCTTGATCCTCTGAACTAAAGATATGACATAATTAATTATGTGGTCTCTAGCAGTTTTCAGTTATCCCAAATGCCACTAGACTTAGATGCTGCATGGTGTTGTCTTTCTGTCTGCAGCATGGTTTGCACCATCCTTTCTCATTACTGATTTTTTTTTTTGTAGGGTTTTCTTCTCAGGCATTGTAGGTGACAAGACAGTAGTTCTTTTTTGTATTAGTGAAGCAATGTTAGAGTGGCAGTTCAGATATTGACTGGGGAATCAGGATCTCCTTTGTTCTAAACCTAATTATGCCAACAACTTATTCTGTGGCCTTTGGAAATCACTTTGCCCCTATTAGTTTCTCTAAAAACCAAGGATACTTATTTTACTTACTTGTGTAAGTACCAAATACAGTGACTGGAGAGGTGAGAAGGTAATGGAGGTATTTCTAACAAGGTCAGAATGTGGAGTGCTATAGTTTTCTGGATTTCATTTAGAGGAATTTCACACAACCGGGGTTGGTGTAGGTCCAAAGTTTCAAATGCACTCAAGCTGTTTGTTTATTAGGATTATTGCTGCATATTGCTACGTGTTACACACTATAAATCACCAAATTAGCAAAGCATGCTAATCAAAGCTTTTTCTCTGTGCTTGTGCAAGCTGTCCATGTTGTCCATTTTGGCCTTCTTTCCAGAGCTCATCACAGTCTTCCATCCTTTAATTCCCCATAACCATCATCTTTGCCTCATTCCACTTCTTCCAGAAAAGGAAGGCTAGGGCATAAAGTAAACCCTTGATATTCTATAGCTCTTTAAGCTCCAAAGATGCAGGGTGTGGAACAGGTTTTTTACCGAAAGCACCCTGCAGCCACCCATCTGTAAATATAGTCACAAAAGATGATAAAGTGGTTAAGTCTCTGAATAAATCTCAGGGGATTGCATTTCAGGCCTCACTTGTGTTCTGGCTCAAGTTTCCACTGTGAATCACTTTTTGTGCAAATCATATTCTTCCTATGTTCCATTTTTCCATCTATGAAATGGGGTGGATAATACTGCTTTATGTCAC